GCTACAGGACACATTTCTGTTTTTCCTTGGTATCGGCTCAAACATTTTGAACTCAATTTGTGTCAAAAAAAAAAAAAGGCCCTACTATTGCTTTTGGACTTTGGTGGTTTACTTAACATAATTGCTTTCAGCAAAACTGACCTCAAGAATCACTTTAATTGATTTGGTGCTTATTGGTGCTCATCATATAAAGCTGGGCTAAACAGAATTACAAGGTTCGAGGATTTTTCGGGCTATTTTAGCCTTATACATATATACTGGATATACAATCACTATATTTTAGCAGGGGTATTCATCTGAACCCATGGGTAAAATTGAGTGGCTTTGGAATGTTTGGGAAATGTTTAAAATCTCTGGCTTGAAATCTGGATAATTTGGAGGTAAAATCAACTCTTTAATACTCATTGAACCACATCTAAGCTTTTAGTGTACTACTCCAATTTTTATCATCCGAAACTCTGTAAAATCAAATAATGTCCTTAGTAGTTTTTTTTTCAGGCTTATATTTCTTCTAGGCTGGACTACTCCAGCTTTCTCTGTAGTGTGAGTGACCAGTCTGCCGAAACAGACCAGTTTTCATTAAAATATGTATATGATCTGCAACCATTCTAAGGGTAAACATAAAAAAGAAAATCCCAAAATTGGCAGACCTAAAGCCACAGATCATTGCCCAAAGAATCATAGTGCCTACATCTATTTTACCTCTTTCCATAATGTAGTGATGGTTGTCATGCATACACTAATAGAACCAATAATATCTTAAGCAGTTTATCAAATAATATTTGGCATCAGGGACCCAGTCCTCTGACCATAAGATTTTTTTCAGATTCTAACAAATGTGCAGAACAATAAAAAAAAATAATAAATTTTGTATTTTTTTTATTGCAGCAGGCAGAAGTAAAAAATATATTTGAATGCATCATCATGAATCACAAAACTTGCCACCACTATATGTTGGCACCTTACAGAGACACTTCAATAAATAATCATTGTATCCCTAACCAGAGTAAAACACAATGGAAATAAAATGTAAAAGTCAGAATTAGTAAAAATTGTTTTTCTCTCCATTAGTATATAAATTCATGAATCCTTATTTTGCATGGCATATATGTATATATGTAAAGAAAGAACATCACAATTTAGTATCAGGGCTCATAATGATCGCAAGTCATTCACTTGCATTTAGTTAGCACAGTAGCTGTAATTGCTGTCTGCAGCCTTTACGTGAATGCTCTGTGCAGAGGCATATCTGTATTTTCCCTCGCATTTCTTTTTGTCTGGCTCTTTTTCCTTAAGTCTGGCTTTACGTTGAGTGCATATTATGTAGAGAAAACAAAGATCCCAGAGACTGCAACTTACTTGACTTTTCTCAGGCTATTGAAAAAACACATTATTGCAAGGATTACTCTATTATTAGGCTTTACAGATCCCTTCTACTCAGTAGGAGGGATCTCAAAAGCCATACCTATAAAGAAACGCTAAAAGAAAAGGCACAAAAGTCATGTTTTGAACATGCTTTTTAAGGTTAAACCACAGAACAACTGGACTTCTGATATATATAAAAAATATATATCTGAAGTGATCCTTAATTTGGAGAGATGATACTGTTGGCTGATGCCATATCATACTACAGTAAAATACTGTATCTACCTGACATTTACTTTTAAGTGTGGTTATTTTTTTCCGGCATAAGAAAATCAAGCACTGAAAAAGCCTGTTTTGGTAGATTAAGTTTTATCTTGAACAGTAAATTTTCATCATAATATAGAAACACAAAATGAAAAACACTAAACAAAGCCCCAAACGAGTGTTTTGATGGTTTGACATTGTGATCACTGACACAAGAGGCTATGTAAGCAGAAATGTTTTTTTCCAATCCAAACAAATTGACAAATAATGAAAACATAATTGCATTGATCCATTAGGTATAAAACATATTAACTCATATAAAATTAGATTAATAGAATAAGACAGTAAATTGAATAGCAACCAACTCGCTTGTCCATCTAAAAAACAAACAAACAAAAAAGGTTTTCCGGCTTTTGACAGTATTTCTTGCTATACTATGGAGTATAACAAGAAAAGCAACCACACTGGAAAGACAAAAAATAGCAGGCTTTGCCCTGTTGAGAAGATCTGGGCATTCTTAGAGGTCTTGCTCTATTTATATTACAAGTTGTACTAAGGTCAATTTTTTCATTGAAGCTGATATCTCCAGCAATATGATCTCCTGGTTAATGTGTTAGTCCCAAAAAGAAAAACACGATAAACAGCAGCTTGTCATACTCTCAGAGGTAGAGGTCTGCAGCTAATAGCTGAGGCCAATATGGACTCGTCTTACATCTTTATTCTTTAGGCCCCACCCAGGATGTTTATGCTCCCACCTCTTTGTTTCCCCCTAAAAGGGAGCATCTAAAACAAAATTTTGAGAATCGTAACCAAAGATTTCTGACACATGCAAGTAAAAGTTTATGTTTTGCAAATAACCTTCTCCTTGTGAGAAACATGGAGTAATTTCAATAAAAACAACTTTGTTTCTTGAACAAAAGTTTTTTATTTAAACATACATTTTTTTTCATCAAAAAAATATATATTTCATTGTAATTCTGAGAGTTTTAGCGAAAATTGCGAAAGACCCCTGTGCTTTGGTGACTGGGGACTGACAGGTGTTTCCCATCAGACCTCGTTATGGAGAACACAAAGGAGTCTACTGCCAGCACTTCCTCACCATAGTTTAAATCAGTCTAGTATGTTCTTCTTTTTAGGGTCTCCTTCTTATTATTGAACCCTTCTCTCCCTCCAAGCCACCCTGCACGTTTCTGACCTGCGCCAACCTCAACTTCCTGGATTCAGACAGTCCTTCAGCAGCAGTCTCAACTCTGGTTCCCCCTTCCACAAGCCTCCCCTCCTCCTATACAGGAGACAAATAATATTTGACTTTTAATATTAACATAATCACTTAAATAGTAATAATTATTATTATCATCATTGTAATATAAAAAGCAATTTATAAACCAGAAGGCAATTAAAATGCTCTACAAATTGAACAAGTGAAAAAGAAAACCATAGGCACAATAATACACACAGGGTCACAATAAAAGCAATACAATCTGGGGTCCTTTTCAATAAGCAGGATTTCTGAGGCCTCTAAGTTTTCTAATACTGAGTTTTCTGTTTCATAAAGACAGTTGAGTCAACCTCTGTTTCACTCACAGTAGTAACATTCTCCTCAGAGCTTAACTGGTCGGGAGCAGAGAGTTTGTTCAGTAAACTCAGTGTCCCCTGTCTCCACTCTTGTTAGAGCCTATCACATTGTTTTATTTGTTCATTTAGTCAGGAGATTTTTTTCATAGTTTTGTGCATAAAAAAAGAAAATCATTTACTAGGTCCTTTAGAAACGTAAGTTTTAAAAACAAACATTGAATATCCTTTTCATAAGGATGTTATTAAAGAATTATCAGCATTATTTCACAGAGAATTATAATTTACAGAGAGAGGATTCTGCAACTCAGTTGACAGGATATGAGATTTATTTGTTTAATATGAGCGACATGCAGCTCAATTTATTCATTCATTTTAACAGTAAATTAATAACTACCGAAATTATTTTCAGATTACACATAAATAGATACATTTATTCACCAG